GTGGCTCAGCAGCAAGTCTGAGGGTTTATAACTCTAAAAATAGGACCTCGATTCTCGTTTGACACAGCATAGATAGTCCATTGAGTAGCTTTGTGCTTAACACCAAACAACAACGACCAAGCACTCTAGTCACAAAGTTAAATCAAACCATAAAATCATTCATCTTACAATTTAGATCCAAAAATATGAGTAGCTGTAAAAACTCTCATACGTGTAGCAGTTATAACGAAATTTACCCATTGTTGTTTGTACCCTGACTCAAGATGAAGGTAATGGATCCTTCTTTGTCATACTCCATATTTAACACACGAACTAGCACCAAAACTATCTGTATTGGTTATTGATACTGAATACGGTGTTTGCATGTTGTCCTAAAAATACCCATGCAGAAAGACAGATGTGTGTTCATTTTAGAAATAGTTCCATACATACATACTTTACACCCATGTACATTTTACGTTGTTTTTAGTTAATGTCGGGTAGGAGTGCATGTAAGAAGCAAGTTTTCGGTATGCTAATGATGCAGCTAATGATATACGAGGACTATACTATGCTGTTGTCATTAAACACGCAAAAAAGCGCTTCGATATTGTGAACCACAGGTGGTATATTTCCTGATTGTTTGGGATGTTTGATGGTGGATCAAAATTGAGAGGTAATTAGTTATGCAACAATAGTCTCCCGCCGCCACTGTCTAACTCTCTGCTATAAATATTAGCGAAGCACTGCTTTATATATATATATGTATATTCTATGCTAGACGGTATATTGTTCAAACATTATCAAAGTTTATTGACAGTAATCTTCTTGTTGCTTGTTTTAAATAGCCAGATTAATTAGTTACACGCTGTCACCTCCACTGCACAACATTATTATTTGTTTATGAAATTAGTGTTGTTTGATTTGTATTTATTTATTATATGTTCTATTTCTCTGCTGTTTCAAAAACATATCTTTCAGTATACAGAAGAAAATGAATAAAAATGTATATTACGTACCAACTTTTAATACTCCAAGTAACACGTGGTCTGGTAATTAGGACGCTCGACTTGCAGTCTGCGAGTCATGAGGGGTCACTAATGATGCTAAATACCACATATTTTTCATACCTGATACAAGTGAATGACTTGTAAATACTAACCTGAAATTGATGTTCATTTCACAACATTTATTCTCTCTCCTCTATATAGTGTATATATGCGGATAAATAATGGAATGGTAAGATAACTCACAAAATAGTCCAGAAAATGAAAAAAGAAGGAAATTTCAACGCTTGTAAATCCACATGAGAACTGTAACTAAATATCTTGCCCCCCCCCCCATTGGCTCAGCGGTATATCTGCGGACTTATAACGCTAAATATCGAGTTTTGATACCCGTGGTGGGCACAGTACAGATAGCCCATTGTGTAGCTTTGTGCTCAAATACAAACAAACTAACTAAATAATTAAGTAGTTTGTATGCACATTCTATACCTAAATCAGTATACATACAGAACAAACATAATAGTTACAAAGCTAAATTGTAACCACAAGAAGTTTGATATTCATACGTCGACTTTATATTTTTTCCTTTCAACTTTAATATTTTATACAATTTTCCTAAAATTGCTACGTCAATATAACTGATTTTGAATATACTCAACACCGTAAGCGAAATCACAAAATTCTAAGACTTCTTGACATAGTTATTTCGTCTCCCACTAGGTAGCGTCATCTCGATAACACATTCAGCAATTTGCTCATGCTATTTTACTGTTACAACCTACGCACACCTGCGGTTAGCTGCGAATTGGTTGCTATGGTTACCGTCGTTGTTGGCCGTTGCTCCGTTTACTGTTGTCTACGTTATTGACGTTCAAATTGTGTGGTTGACTGGTGATATTTCTCGAAAGCTGTTTTTAAAGCAAAAAAGTGGCACCACTGCAAAGCATATTAGTCTGTTGCCTTATTGTCACTCTCCAAAATAAATGTTACGTGTTTTTTTTCTTGTTGCATATATAGATTGATGACTTTATCGGAAAACTTGCCGTTGAATCAAGGTACCCCTGATTAAAATACCTTCCTTTTGACGGTATACATTCTACATTTGTCTCGAACGTTTAAATATCAAATCAAGGCCTATTAATGTCTTGAAATTAGCCTCCCTCCCCTATTGTGATCTCATGATCTTTAGAACACAGCCTATTCTCAACATATTTGTCAATTAATGATTATCGGAAAACATTACTTTTGTCTTATATATTTTACATGTTTATGGATGTGTGTGCTTACTTCCGTCTTATAATACACTTCAAGTTGTGAAGTAAAATTAGTCAGATTGGGGCAGATAAAACATATACATATGAATAACGTTTTATACGTTAACAATATTGATTTTTAGGTTTATCATTTCCTTTATCAACTCAGGATGAGAGAAAACACAGTAAAACATTTGATCTTCTATTTAGTTTAGTTCATCATTGTGAGTCAGAGTGGTTTCAAGAATTACTATATCTTATTAGTAATCCTGAGTTAGGTAGGAAGAAGAAAAATTTTAATTAACCTTACTTAAAGCGATGGGCTGAGCTTAGTTTTCCACCAGAGACTAAAGGGAAATTGCCAGCAAGTCTTACATTCAATATCTAGATAGTAAAAACGAATTGACATAGGCTTGTTTGTTCTCTACACTTATGAAAAACATAGCATTAAGGAAAAGGTATTTAAATCAATATTCGAATGACAAGTTTTATTATTAAAAAAAACACAGAACGTTGTTCGACAATTATAGAATGGCAAGAGGACACCTGAAAAGCTGATACGTGCTTACTATTTATCTGTATTCGATCAAGTGTTTGGAGTTAATATACAATGTATATGATATTGACAGTTTGGTATATATATCAAAATACGATTCTTAATTTTGATTAAGTTCCGTTCTTGCGTACTTAAAACGCTAGAAACGCTATTTTTATGGGCATATCTAATATTTCACTTTCAAAGTGTAAGGTTGGAGCCCACAGTATGCCGCTGCACTGGCTCTTCACTGAAGATGGGCACTTTTTAAGGTTTCAGTCAATCTTGCAATTCGATTAAGAGTATCCGCGTAGGCGGCGGATGCTATGAGTGCTCTCCCTTCTTTTGATCAACAGCTCAAAATTAGGGACGGCAATGGCTGTCTTTGAACTAACCGCTTAGTGTTAGTGACACATAAGGTTCCGCTCAAGTTAAAATACCATTCCATAGTGTTAACGTCGCATAACGTTCCACTCATGTTCAAATACAATTTCAAAGACATGTGCGTTTTTCTGTGCAGAGTTTTCATTGCACGTTAGCTGTGCTTAAGCAAGTTTAATTGCTTCATGTTAGTACCTGTTAATGGGTTGACCTCATGTAACTGTTTTATATATATATATTGACGTTTTTGGCCCATTTGTTTTTGATGTTACTGTAATTGGGCACATGTAATTACCTCTCCCACCGAACGTGAACGAAGGTTATTTATTTTAATTCCTGTGTGTGTGTGTGTGTTTGTATTTGTAAGCAAGATTTCTCTAAAACGGCTGAGTGGATTCGGACGTAAGTTGGTATACATTTGGACTATGACCCAACTTAGAAGTGCTTGGTTGTTGGAGGGTCTAGGTAAAGGGTCAAAGAAAGGTCACGAAAATCCAAACAATCTCCTATCTGTTAACATGGGGACCGATTTTTCACACTATTTTTGTTCTATACCTCAATCAAAAATTATCGTATTTTGATGAAACTTGGTGGACATATCTAGAATATTATTTTTCATTGTCCTGCATAAAATGTTCTGTGTCTGTTGATAACGATGGACACACGGACACAATTTCATATTTTTTTAGAGCCGAATATAATTAAAGATGCGTGGCGGAGGCATGCGTTCTGTTGAGTGCCCCTCTAATTGTTTCAGGTTATTCTGTTTTATTATTTTTCCTGAGTTCATTATCATTTAACATTATTGTGGTTGAGAACATGCATTATTTCATACTATTGTGTTTTATGATTATTGACGCATTACTGTGGCTGTTTTATGTTATAAAGCATTTGGGTTGTGGGGTTCACCCTCTGGTAGAGCTCTAGATTTTGGAGCAGTGCGATACTACAAAATATTCCCCACACTTTAAGCTGTGGGTGCGTTATAAGAGGGACACTCAATCCCTTAGTGTGTATGGTATGATTCTCTTACTGGCTGCATTCCCTCTGGTTACTAGTTAAAAAATTGGATACAGTAGTAAGTAGCCGTAGTAGCTTTACAATTAATGAGTAAATAATAATAATACAAAGCGTTTATGTAGTCATGTGGTTTGGAACATTAACTCGTTTCATGTTATTTTGTTCATTTATGAGACACTTTGTACTTCATGTCGCTGTGGTTAGGTGCATAATATTTTGTGTTTCACCTTACTGAGGTTGGACACATGAAATAGTTTGATCTTATTCTGTGTTTTTCTCAGCATACTTTTCATCTTCTTACTTTGGTTAGACACTTTATAGTTTCATGTTCTTTTTTCTTTCTACACTATATATTTTACGTTGCTATGATTGCGCATAATTAAGTATTTCAAACTATTGTTTGTTTTGTCTTTTATTAGGTGCATCGTGCATTTCACCTCAGCAATTAATTGTTAATGTTACAGTTTTTTTCTGGACAGATTTTGTCTTTGATCGTATTCTAATTGGGCAGAGTAAATGTTTCATGTTATTTGTGTTCTGACTACAATCTGTTTTTTGATGATACAGTGTTTAGGAACATGCAGTTGCTTTAGTTTACTGTAATACTTTGTGTTACATGGACTTTTTCATATCAGTGAGTTTTAAATTTCAGTTGTAGTGTCGCTTCTTACTTTTTAATTTTATTCATCTTTCTTCACAACAAAATATCATACAACTTGGATGAACTTTCTTTGCAGACGTTTTTAAATCATTTGTTTTTCTTCGATTATTTGATTATTTATTGATTGTGTTGCTAATTGTGTAATTTCGCTCTTTTTGTAACAGATGAAAACCAATGATCAGTTAACAGTGTGGATAGCAGTTACTGAAGACAGTCTCGTCCTCCTGGACTACGCAACAATGGTATGTACATAACATATTGTACTCGTATATTTACAATGGATTTATTCCAAACAATACTTTTATAATTTAGTGAAAAGTAAAAGTAAAAAAATTGTTAGCGCGCCTTTCGAGGAAAATACATAAAAGGCGCAAATTGTACAACTAATCTGTTATTTGACGTTTATTTACAGATTTAGTGTTAACTCTCTCAGACAATCACCGTAATAAATAGATTAACTTGCTTCAAATCCAAATGACAAATAGTCAACTTGACAGATAACAATAGACAAACATTTTGGCAGCGAGAATGTGTTTATGTGTGTTTTATAGCACAACTAGATTGGGCTATCTGCTGTGTCTACCGAAGGAAATCGAATCCCTGAATTTAGCGTTGTAAATCCGTAGAGGCAGCGAGGAAAAAGCAATCTTAAAAAATTACCAACTAGCAATACTGTTTATAATGAAAGGCTCTAGCAATACTGTTTATCATAGGAAAAGCCTTTCATTATAAACAGCTGGATATTAAGATAACTATGGTTATGGTTGTACGTGGATTTGTTTTTAAGATTTAGGTATTCCCAGTGGCACAGCGGTAAGTATTAAGGTTTATAAAACCATAAAATCCGGGTTTTGATACCCGTTATGGAAACATCATATCGTGCTTCTTGTAGCTTTGCGCTTAACTACAAACAACAACAACAATAAAGAATTAGAAATCCATGCTGTATCTACATTGAATTATAAGTTTAAAGTATTATTAACTTTACGTGGAGGTTACCAATACAAAACTATCAACTTTTTATACTAGAACATTAGAGAAATAAGTTTTTATTTAATTGTTGAAAGTGTCTATTATTGCAGGTATTAGAAGGTTTTGTTGATATCACAACATTAAAGAAATCAACTGTTGTACTAAAGCGTTAAAAGTGTTTGTTGTTGTGGGTGTTAGAGAGGTAAAAGTACCAGATTTTGTTGATATCACAGCATTAAAGAAATCAACTAGTACTTTTACCTCTCTAACACCCACCACAACAAACACTTTTAACGCTTTAGTACAACAGTTGATTTCTTTAATACTGTGATATCAACAAAATCTGGTACTTTTACCTCTCTAACACCCACAACAACAAACACTTTTAACGCTTTAGTACAACTACAACAATTTATTCGTTTAATGCTCTAATATCAACAAAATCTTTTAAGCGCTAATTGTGTCCGTTGTTCCAGATGTTATACGAGTAAATGTGTCAAATTGTGTACGTGTTAGTCTCAGCTGTTTTATATAATTCGTTGTTAAAATACTCTGTTGCCATAGGTTTTATTGTTAAATATATCAGCTCTTATGGACGAGATAGTGTAACGCTATCTATGTTGTATGTGTTAGAGCGTAAAGGTGTTAGTTGTATACTAGAGTCGTAATTTACTATTCTAACCAATGTTAATCTGAGAACATTAATAACACGAACTTTGTCACTAGATTGTATTGTACAATACTTTCTGACTGTAAATCGTGAGGGAAATAAGAAAGAATTCTGTAAATAAAAATAGTCGTTGTTCTGGGCGTAGAACGATCTCGTAACTCAACAACAGTTGACGCTAACGATACATATGAAATAAGTAGTTCTTTAATTACGGTGTTATCGGTTTTCTTGCACACGTATATATCATATGGAATGCTTAAGGTTTAATTAAAAGCAGCAAGTCAAGCAACTGTATTAGAAGAAATTGGCGTTCGATTGTAATATGCCATAAGATATTTTTTCTTCTTTTCGTACAACACGTTAATATTATGATCTACAAAATGTCACCCACTTTACAGTATTATAGAGTTTAGAAATATTAAATCTAAGTGAGCTGAGCTTTGGTAGTTTATTCCAAACTCATCGCTGGCTTTGCAATGTATTTTGTACAACAACACATTAAACGCTTATCAAAATTTTTAAAAAAGGTCTAACGTTAGGTCGTAGAGTAACGTTATAAGTTTATTTATTGATAGTATTAAGTATGGTAAAGTTTAGCTCTAACTAATCTAAAACAAAAAACGTACACACGTTACAGTGTTAATTTATCTTTATATCGAATATAAGCCATACTTTATTAAATACGGCTAATATTCGACAAGTGGACTTACAGATTTCGGTGTCTGCGACTATAATTCTTTTGTATTATTCCAGAAATCCTGCATTTAAAGAAATACTATTGCTTGTTTGTTTGTTTGTTTTGAATTTCGCGCAAAGCTACACGAGGGCTATCTGCGCTAGCCGT